CACGAAATTATTATTTTACTACCCGTTACTTATTCTTATGGCCGTTTAATATTTCTAAACCTTAATTGGCCCGTTTACTGTACGAATATGGATGTGATTCCTTTAACAACATTACTATATATGCTGTTATTATTTTATTAAATGGTATTCAGTAGTACTGTTAATAATGTCACGGTTATCGTCATATAAGTTATCCATTAGATATTATGGGATATTTATACTGTTAATCATATATCAACCATGATTATTATGCTGTGTGCATTTCAGAGAATAAATGGACTGTTTAAATTATGTCGCATTTATATTACATGGATATGTTGCCATATAGAACCATGTGAGCTGGCTAATAAGTTTAAACTCATTTATACCTTATGCATTCGTTGCTATAGACAGATGTGTGGCTGTCGGGGTATGTGGTTTAATATTATTGGCATGTGTTGCCTAATTGACATGCTCAGTATGTTTAGTAATATTATTGGCATGTGTTGCCTAATTTATATGCTCAGTATATTCATCAGTACTTTGAGAGGTGTTATCACTGTGTAGTTCGTTATAGTATGTGTTGTCAGTACCGTGCACCATGTATAATAGCTGATTTCCCGGGTAGGGAAAGGCGACACTTAACCACCTAGTGTGAGTCTAAGTGATCACCGTCTATTCTGGTTGAGGTCATGTTATACATTGGATAGTTCCCTTAGGATGTATACAGATATAGTACTCATCCGATTCATAATGATTAATTTATTAGATTCTCTGATTTGGGTCATAGTAGAGAGGACTTGCTCGTGGGGTTGACCCACCATTGTTGTTATTTCAGGATACGATCAGTACCCGTTCCAAGGTTGAGGTTAGCAGTGTGGGACCACCATCCGAACTCATCTACTCTTACGATCCAGTTCAGGGTAGAAGTTTTACGTATTACTTCAGTTTCAGTTTTTATTTACTTTTGACGTTGAACTCTCAGGTTTATATTTAGGGATCCTTGACATAGGATTTCCAAGTTGTAATGGAGTTACTGTATTTAAATAAAGGATGGATGGATGTTGTATTATTTAGTGTTCCTTTCCTGTCTAAATTCTTTTATTATCATCATTTTGTATTCCATGCTTGTATATTGCCAATTGTTTTTGATATTCCTCGTTTTTCGTGTATAAGCCTGATCAACTTATGCGTGGAAAATGTTGGGGGTGTCACAGTTAATTTATGCTTCTATCGGTGATACTATTCAGGGTGGTATTCTAGTTTTGATACTGCCAATGAGCTTCTTGATTTGATCAAGAAATAGTTAATGGGTATTAAGAAGCAACTATAATACTATTATCTGATATGGATTATGTTAGTGAGATATGATGGCAATGGTTCAGTGAGGGAGTACATCTATAAGATGTGCAAGCTAGTTAATGATCTGAGGTAGTAGATAATCATATTTGCTAATAAGTTAATTAGTCCACATGGTGATTTATTCTGTGCTTAGTTTTTTCAACTTTTCAAGGTGAATTATAATTCACAAGAAGTTAAATGTAGCATTAACTAGATGTTAGCATTTTGTGTTATTGAAGGGGAACGGCTCAAGGGTGTTAAAACTGAGTCAGCTTATCTTGCAGTAATAGTAAGAATAATTTCAAGAAGAAACTAGGCGATAAGAAAGTGTATAAGGCTAATAAAGAAAAGTAGAACAATACATGAAAAGACATTGATCATGGAATGATAAATGTTAGTTCTGTAGAAATAAAAGGACATCAAAAGAAAAGGTTATTGTGGTGAAAAAGAAAAACAAAGTAGGAAAGAAAATTGCCATGTTAATATTTGAGCCTAACTTGGTAAAAATATAGGTATTGACATGGTGGATGGATTCGGGTGTAAATCGTAATATTTTTTAAGTACATACTTAAAGAGTAGTGCATTGTGCCACAATACACCACTCCTATTTTTCCTGAACAGAATAAAGTTGCAGAAAATAGAAAGTGTAGGGATGTCTTATAAAGACAGAGTTATATAATGCAGATATCAAGGAGCTTGATACTCACACTATCAATGATTATTTGATTGGGCATCTTGATAGATTAAAAGATTGAAGATTTTATTGTCCAGTATACCTATGAAGATTATTGATATATATCATATAAATTTGATGAGAGTGGCGAATCTAGTGGGATTTTAGAATACTGTAGTTTCTTTTTTGCAGAGGAGCAGCTTTCAGTATCTATTCCATTTTATTTCAAACTTCATTCCACTTTCTTTAGTGGTTTTATTTATAATTCCTATTTTCACTCTTTCAGCTATTCCCACTCATTTAGTTATTTCTTATTTGCAGTCTCTTCTTTCAGTTTTCAATCTAGTTCCTAAACCTGTTTAACTTAGGAGATCTTCTAGAGCTTGGAAGTATGCTGTAGTTGGTGGTTTTGAGGTGTCTGATGGATATAAGACAAAATTGATGGTCAAGTGCTTAAGCAAAAGTTAAGTGTTGATTTCTTTGAGATTTTTCTCCAATTTCATTAAATAACTCTTTAAGAGTCATTATTTCATTATCACTCATTTATGGCTTAAGCAAGTTTTACAGCAGTAGTATCCAAATTTTGATATAGTGGTTACTAATTGTAGGTTCAAAGAGAATGCTATGGATAGATGCATGTACCTCAAGTTCAGTGGGAGTCATTTTTTGTCTTTCTTGTCCTATATGTTGATAATATTTTGCTAGGTAGCAATGACATTCATGAGATACGTGATATTGAGAATTTCATGTAAAGTTTTTGACATGAAGGACATGCGGTATGCAGAGTATGTCCTTAGTATTAGGATCCATACGGATCACGCTACTAGCATACTTGGACTTTCTCTAAAGGTTTATATTATTTAAGTATATGGAAAAATTTAAGGATGACTAAGCATAGTAAGCCTATTGACATAAAGTACATTTTTTATGTGTGAGAAAGTTAAGGAAGGTGTTATTGAGGTTCCCAGATAGAGTAAAAAATTTGATTGTAGATCCTATTACTAAAGGTTTTCAGCCAAATATAATAAAGTATTTATAAAGCACATGATTCGGATAGGTGTTCGAGAGTCATTATATTATAATGTCCGGTATATCTTTTGTATATGCTACATTGCAATTAGTTTCTTTACGTCTTATAGTGACATTTATTTACATCCAAAATAAAGTTATGATGCATCATTATTATTATCTTGATATATATGGTTTATGCACGTGCTATTATGTTTGTCTGGGAGTGATATTTCACTCATGAGGTTGTTTGGACTAGATATGAGATTGACACCATATCGGTAAATCCAAATATAAGATTTGTCTGGGAGTAGTATTTCACTCATAAGGTTATTTGGACTAGATGTGAGATTGACACCACATTGGTAAATCCAAATATAAATATTAAAGTTTGCCTGTGGGAGTGTTAACACTCTATGAGGATAGCTTGGGTTAGATATGAAATTGGCTCTATATCGGTAAACCCTCACACTGAACAGAATGTTGGCAGTTTGCTGTAATATGTTCAAGTGACATACCGCGATGGTATGAAGCAGGACGGATAATAAGGTGTGTGTTTAGACCACATGCAGTTTGCACATCTCATGAAATACAGTAAAACCACTATATTTGCTTGAATCCTAGATGGAATTGGTTTTAAGATCATGGAACTGTTTAGACTAATATATTACTTGTCTACGCATTCATGATCCACTATTGCGGAATTCTATGGAGGAGAGTGTTCTAAAGTATCAATCCATCAATTTCGATAATTATGTTTTCTAAATAAAAATGAGTGGCCACTCGAATTTTATAAAGTGTGTTGCAATCCATAGTATCATTTTTTTATAAAACTTAGAGTGCATGGACCAAGTGGGAGATTGTTGGAAATTTTATATATATAAATAATAAAAATTATTTTATGGTCCTATGCATTACGTTTTCTAAAATAGAATTGCAATGTGATTATTGATACTTGATGGATTGGGTTTATACTTTCCAATTTGGTGGTCTAATTGGGAGTATGGTTTTATACCGTTGGATTGTGGTTTTCCAACTTATTTGGTGTGACTTATTTCTAACCATTAATATCTAAGTTTCCATGATAGGAAGGGAGATTTAGATATGTTTCTTTGTAGAGAAGCCGTCCCCCCCTATTTGTTGTTATATATAAGGGTTTTAAAACCCTTATTCTGACCTATCGTATCGACAACTCTCAGAAGGGGGTAAAACGCTTTACTGTTTTGCAGGAACTCATAGAGGATTACATAGATATTCTAAAGGTATATGCGCGTAATCATCAATCAGGTACTAGTCTAAATTACTCTTTAATTAATTAAAGTATTCTTGATTTCTACATGAATTAATTTGATTAAAACCCAACTTCGCCTTCTCGCCTAAAGACCTTTATCACGCTGTGAGTATTCTGTTTTCTTATTTCCTTTCCTTTCCCTTATTCTCGATTAGAAGCCCTAATTTTATTTCTTATATTAGATTGTTTAACAACATTTCTTGATTTGGTGCTTAATTTTGTTGATTAAAGTGTAATCCCCACTCTACTTGTTCTATATTTGTATCTGTATCAGATCCGTTTGGTGTTTACAAGTCTGCTTAGGAAAGGAGATTACTATAAGCACTACATATGTGTATATATATATATCTATACATACACACACGAATAAGTCAGCATCTTTCATTACACAAACTTTAGGTAAATCTTCATCAATTTTAATCCCATTACAATTTTCTCACCTAAACAATGTCTTAATATTACGCTTCTCGTTATTTGGTTAGCTGCTTCATATTATCATCTGGGTAGATATTATTTTTATTCCTATTATTACCACTTTTTTTTTTTTTCTTCTTCTTCTTTTTTATATATAGTTTTATGGTTCTATATATATGGTTTTCATGTTTAAGATTATGAAACCTCACTAGATTTTGTAATTGATTAGGTTCTCTTGCTTGTTCTTATTGTAGATTTGTTGTAGTGCTGTGCAACTAAATAATCATTAGTAATATGAATTCATCAGTGGAGTTGGCCTGGACATGGCTCCCTAGGAACTTATCAGATATGATTGTGGACAAGTTAGATTCACTTTCCGATTATGTTCGCTTTGGTGCTGTCTGCAAACCATGGCAATTTGTGGCATTGGAGAACAAAGTTAAATTTCTTGAAAGAAAATGTTATGTACAAGTTCCATTGTTGATGGTCCCAACAAAAGATAATAGTGAAGAATTTCGCAGTCTATACAACATCACTCATGATAAAACATATTATTTTTAATTACGGGTACCTTACAAGAAGAGGTGTTCTGGTTCTTCATATGGTTGGTTGTTCACTGTTGAAGAAAACACGGGTGTAACTCTATTAAACCCCTTCTCTGGTTCTACCATTGGGCTTCCTTCCATCAGGTACGTCTCAAAATTCGAGTATGATGAAAGCGATGAAAAAGATATTGAGGTCGGATTTGAATACGAATATACTCCATGTGATGAACTTGTTTTAGTTGAGTTCCAAGTTCACAAGGCTATATTGTCGGCTGACCCTGCTTTGTCTCCGAATGACTGCATAGTTACCGCCATCTATAGTGGTCGTCGCCAATTGGCATTTATTCGACCTGGTGACAAAGATTGGAGTTATATAGAAGATGAATTTAAATCAATCTTTGATGTCATATATTATAAATGCAAGGTTTTTGCAGTTAATTATTGGGGTGTAGTTTTAATGATTGATGATAATAGCAGTAGGGGTGCACAAAGGAACCGGAACCGTTTTTTTCGGTTCTCACGGTTCCGATTTCGGTTAAAAATTTAGGAACCGTGTACATACGGTTCCGGTTCCGGTTTCAAACCGTGGAAACCGGTAAGAACCGGAACCGTATATATATATATATATATATATATATATATATATATAATATGTATTATATATTTAATTTTATAATAAAAAGAAGTAATTGGGCCTAGTCAATCAAAGTAATTGGGCCTCTGATAAAAACCCAAATGAGACATCTCAGTGTCGGTCCAATAAGTTGGGGCCAAAGCTTAACTGAGCTAGTAAATAATGGTCTAGAGCATCCATATGCAAATCAATTACCTAGACCCAGTTACTTACGGGATGGAGGCAAACGGGCTTATGCAATTTAAGGCCGGAACTATAACATTGAATCATATAAAGCCTTATTGGGATCAATTGCGTTGCTGCTCATTTTTTTATTCTGCTGCTTCCTCTTCAGTCCGAACTTTTCCATGTACAATACATACAACTCGGACATCTAGGAATAGAATTGAATCCAAACAGAGCCATATGCGGATTATTGTTTGGAATTTTCAAAGGATGGGGAACCCCCTCACATTGAACAAATTTTGAAGCTTCAAAAGCTATACTCCCCAGTGATTTTTGCTTTTATTGAAACCAAAAATGGTCGGAGAAGACTTACTCACCTTCACAGTTAACGATTCTCATGGAACCGAACCAGTTCCGGTTCGATTCCATATTATATGGTTCCAGTTCCGACCGGAATTGTGAGAACTGAAACCGTGTACACCCCTAAATAGCAAGGGCAGGGCAATTGAGGCTCCCCAAGTTAAAGTAATTGTACGAAGGACTGAAGTGTATGCTCGCCAGATATATCTCGTGGAATCATCTAGTGGAGATTTGTTTAATGTGCAACGGTTTCATTCAGAAATAGAACTTGATTTACAGCCCGAAACTTCGAACTTCAAGGTTTTCAAGTTGCGCGCTGCTACAACCAAACAAAAATGGTATGCCTGAGCGGATTGAAGTGAAGAGCTTGGGTGGAAATGCAATGTTTTTGGGAGATAGCCATTCCACTTGTATTTCAGCTTCGAAGTTCCCTGGATGCTAGCCAAATTCCATATACACACTGATGATTATTTTGACTTTATAGTTTACACACCGGATGGGTGCCATGATAATGGTATCTTCAACATAGAGAATGGAAGCTTTGGCACACATTACATTCTTGATCCTTCACTAAAGGATATGCCGCCTCCGATTTGGATCCTCCCAACTGTGCTTGGAAATTTAGTATAGAGTCTAGACTGAATTTCTTTTGATTGCGTTTTGGTGATTTATTTAGAATTAACATTTCACCAAAAAAAAATGTATTTTAATTTTATTGTTTTTGTTAGCTTAATTTCAAATACTCTATTTCGCATAATTTTATCACTAATATTGTGGTTGTTTATCATAAGTTGACTTTTTTCTGTTTAGTTCAAGCTCATGTTGTTCTCAAAGCAAAGTGCACCTCAGCTTCATGAATAATACTCTTTTTTTAGTGAGGGTTTTGAATATATCATCACAAGGTTTGATGGTTAAGGTCTCCTATATAGCATAATCCATCTTTAAAACAGTCGTGTTGGTTAGTCCTTTGCTTGTTTGTGTGTGTGTGTGAGAAAAAGTGTTGGCAGTTTTTTCGACCTCTTTATATATATAAGTTGAAAAACTGTTGCGGTTTCTTCATTATAATTATTAGCCATCACAAAACTTTAATAAGAATTATTTTAATAATAATTTATCTATTAAAATACTTGTAACAGAAAGTAGTAAACTAATCACATCACTTGAACCTAATAGGAGTAAATTTGATAATTCATTCATTATTAATAAAATAAAATAAAATAAAAATCATTTTAAAAAAAATGTTAGATTCAAAAAAAAAAAAACACATTTTGGAGTTCACAAGTCCAACCAATCTTACTCGAGACGACCCAGTTTGAGTTCAAGCCCACTCTTTGCGAATTTGTGATTAACTTGAGTGATTACAAAATGAGCCCAATTTTAATGAGGCTTGAAACTTAAAGTGGTTCTACTTTTGTGAGCATGATGGTGGGACTAAAGCCCATTACAATAGCCCAATGCCCGAATTTTAAACTTTGACTATTCTATGCAAGTTTAGATTGTGTATATTTTACCAAACTAAAATCTCACCTCACATTTTTTAGGTTGGAAGTTAGAATTTGTTGATACATATTGACTGCAGCACTTGCTTCGTTTGGTTGGAGGGATAAAAAAATGGATGGAAGGGAGAGGGTAAGGATTAAGGAATGAATGAGGCATCCTTAGAGAAAGGAAGGTGTTTACCACATTTTTTATTTGGTTGAATGGAATGGATAGTAGAAAGTATGGATGTGATGATAATTTTATTTTTTTTTTATTTTTTTTAATTTTTATTTTATTTTATTTTATTTTATTTTTTTTTGGTTGAAAGGGAGGGAGAAAGAGTTTTATATTGTTTTCACTAATATACCCTAATTACATAATATTATAAAAATTATACTATAACCATTCCAAATAATGCAACAACAAGGTTAAAAACGAAAATAAAAAATTTGTTATTTATTATCCTATTTTCTCTCTCTCATCTTCCCTCCAATTTTGGGCGGATAGAAAACTACAAAGGAATGAGGGAACAAGCATCCCTCGTTACTTCCCCCCTCTTTTCTCTTCCCTTCAACCAAACACAAATTGTTTTTTTTATCCCCTCTCATCCATCCCTCCAAGCAAACATAGCTTGAACATAAGCGACATTTGTTGGTGGACTCTCTAATCTAAGGAGTCAATTTCAGAGAGTTTTTTTGATAATTATATAATGCTTATGATACGAAAAATTATCCGATGATAAATTATAAAATGCTCTAAGAAACCCACATGTAAACAAAATAAATAAATATCAAACCTACTTAAAAGGATAAAGTGCAAAAAAAAAAAACCCCTGACCTATGGGGGTTTTGCAACTAACCCCCCGGAACTACAAGAAACCCCCCTGAACTTTCAATTTGTTGCAATTTGCCCACTTAAGCCTCCGAAAAAGGAAAAAGACGAAATTGCCTGTCCAATATTCTAATAATATCGAACCAACCAATAATGGCTGATATTTATGTATTTTATAATTAATAATTGTGAATTGCTTTAGTCACCGACATTTCCAAATCCTAACCCTCAAAGTGTTTATAATTGTGTATCACCATGATCGAAGTGTTCAAAGTGGCGTCGTGCGTGAGAGCTTGGTGCATCTCCATTGATGCGCTGCCGAGGTAGGTGAAGACGGTGGTGATGCCGTCGCACTCAAAGGCCTCAATAAAGACGTCGGTGGTGCGACCCGAGCGTGTGCACAAAATAATGCACAACACTTTGGTTTTGGAAATGGTATCAAACGGGCATCATAGTTTACATTTATAAACCGCTAGACACTTATACTATGTAGTATGAAGTGAGAATGGATCGAACCCAAGGGATTGAACACGTGTTGGGATTAAACTTGGTTTTAAAGTTAATTAGATTATAAAAGAGAGAAAAGAGAGAGAAAGAGTGTGAGAGAAAAAGATTTTGGTGGAGTGATTAAACTAGAATTCAATTGAAATCATGGAAATAGAAATGACAATGCAAGTAAATTAAACTAAGAATTTAAGAGATAGGAAGAGAGTCTTAGGGTTAGGATTCACTACTAAGCTCATGCAATTAACCACATGCTTTCAATTAATGGGGAATTCATTAGTGTAATTATAGATGTAGCCACATTATCATCACAAATCACAATTGTAAGCATAGATTATCAACATCAAGAATGAGTTGTCTACTTAATGACAATTAAACTAAAGTGTAGAACCCATTCAAGACTACGTCATAACCCACCATACATATTCACAAATGTATCAAATAAGAGCACACATCAATCAAGAGAATAATACTAATTGAAATTAGAAGCATGGATTAACATAATCAAGCACAAATTGCCTACTTAACTACAATTAACTAATAACAAGAAAGCTAATTTGTAGAACAACCCATCAAATTAATTCACAATTGTATCAAATAAGTATCATGCTATGGCCATCACTAAACACAACTACAAGAAGTATTTAATGTAGAATATAATCCTAAAGCAATCACACATAGACATGCAAATTACATACAGAATTAATGAAAGAATTAAGTTCTAATCATCTAATGAAGAATAAAATCCCTAATTAATCATACATAGACATACAATCAATTGGAGATTTCAATGGAAGAATTCATCCATACAAACCCTAATTTATCAAATCAAGCGTGTATATATAAAGAAATCACAAGGCCATAAAATTTAATTACAACATAATAATTCCCCAAGAAAAGAAATACAAAGGTTAGGGTTACATGAACTTAGGGCTCATCCAAGCCTTAAGTGAAGAACTAGCTCATGGAGAAGATGATCATGGTGTCAACAAGCTCCATCTCCATCTTTTGGCTCCTTCTTTTTCTTTCTTCAATTGTAGACAAAGCCTCTCTAAAAAATATTCTTGAAACCCTCGCTTTTTTTCTTCCTTTCGTTTTCTTCCAGAGAGAACGATATCACGATACAGATTAAAAAATAATAAAACTTAATTCCCCAAATAATAAATCACTAAACTAATAAATACTAACCCTAAAAACAATGGGCCTCACTGGGCTTAAGTAATAAACCTATTAAAGCCCACTATGTTACAAAATAAGCCCAAACATTAAAATAAAAATATGCAATGTTGCCAAGTCCTGGGGGATTGATCCCCCACCCTGGGGGATCGATCCCCCAGAGTTGGAAAATTCCTTTAAGCCTTATTCAGCTCCATTTTTGCCCCGGGCTATTTGGTTTGCTTCTCCATCTTTGGGAACATCATTAAAGGCCCGAGATTGACCGCTTTGTGCCATTTTCTGAAAATCTTTGCTTAACTCCAAAAAGGCTTAATTGGACTGTTCTTAGCTCATTTTAACTTTATTGCCCTGAAATACACATAAACATAAATTAGGACTAAAACATAAACTTAAGATAG